GTCCAGTGCCGGGGAGCATCCCTCAGACGGGATTGATCAACGCCAAAAATTTTAAACTTTTAACTTCATATTTGTTTGTATAGAAATATATCTAGACCTATGTAGTAGTATGACAGTCGTGGTCGAAAGCTGGAAACACAACTGTTCGATAATCCTCGCTTTCTGTATCGTCAAATCTAGAATTTCATCGTAACTGGGACTATGTGGGTACTACAACCGCCATAATTCTCCTACCAGCAGTACTGTCCTGTTGTTCATGCACCAACTATGTTTCAATGTACATATTTGAAAAGTTAAAAAGTTTGTCTTACTCCTCTTACTCTACAAGACCGATTCCTTGCCTTCTCAACTATATGGCCGTGTTCTCGAGAAAAATGCTAACTCCACAAGGAAAATCACAATGTTGACAAACATCCCCTTTTGAAAGGAACCCAAGAAACTCTGGGTGAACGATATCGGATTCATATCTGCAGTAATGCTCACTCTCGGTAAGTATAACCGGTGATATGAAGTCGTGAGAAAATACTAATGTAAATGGGCGAAAAACTATCGCCCACTTACATTAGTAACTGGTGAATAGTGTAAGTGGGCGATAGTTTTTTGATAGTCGTCGAGTACGTCATGTTTGAGAAAAAGTATAAATCCGTAATGACATTGTCTTCTCATTCATTGGAGAAATGGATTGAGTGGAAAATTACGACGGTCTGCTACAGAAAGTACAAAAAAGAACGGTGGGACAAGACGGAATGCAAACCTACACATTGGAGCATTCGACGGCTATACATGTGAGAAGCATGGCCAGAAGTATTATCACTCCGATGAAGAAGAGCACTGCACCTGTGATCAGAACGCATTTCCTGAAACACAAGGGCATAGTTGAAGAAACGGGCGCAGAATTTACACTTATGGGTGTGACCATAGTTTTATCCATCGCTCATCTTTCACAACAAATTATTTCAGCATCAGAATGTACTCCTTGTCCAAAGCCACAACTTATAAGCCTAGGATGCCTGTGATTTTTATGAGCAGTAGCAACTGTCGTAGCTTCTCTGGGCTCCAAAACTATATTTCACATGGTGCTGCTTTGCCGGCTTGTTAATAAGCTCTGCTCATAGTAATGGAAGGAATTCCTACAGATGGCTCAGAGCGGATGGATCTCCGTTTGGATCGCAGTAACCATTCCTAGCAAGTATCCTCAGGGATATGCACAAGTGGACCTTCAGATAAGAGAAAAAAGTAAAAGTCAGTAAAAAACAAATGTGCCAGATAGGGCTGGAGAGGTGGAGCGATGATGTGAAGGAAATGGATGGCTTTGACTACTCGTATGTGCTAATTCTAGGGTGCTATGGGTCCTAGAACAAATCATAATTCTTTCGATGTGCAGCTCCCAGCAACTAGAGTATTCTAATTAACTGGCACTGGTAATACATAGTCCCAGTTATGGTTCAGGGGAACATCCCTAAACGATGCTTGAGAAGATTATATGAAGCTCAACATAGAGGTCATCCTGAGGTCGCTTGGTTTAACCGTTGCAGCGATGTTCAAAATCTTCCATTGAAATAAGGAAACCTTTTCTTTTGAGCTCCTTTCATGAATGGCTTGGACGAGCAGCTAATAAGCAACGCATATGTGCTAATTGAATTAATCAAATTCACGAACCGAGCCTTCCAGATGCCCATATACGCTGGCACACAAGGATAGCAAAATACTGGGCATGCCCTTCGCGAATACCATGGCACGTAGTCGCCTTCTGTTGCAATTCGAACCATCTGTG